CTGGCTTATGATGTGTATTTGAGTGGGCTTTTGGCAGACTGATGCCAAACTAACCTTAATTATTGCTTGATACTAAATAAATAACTACGTATATTTATATTACTGAATACTTAAACTGAAAATAGTGGAATGGATTTTATTATTTTTGTAATTAAATTTTAATATAAATTTAATTATTTGTAATATACCACATTTAAATTTATTACAAATATATCACATTGGAAAGGAATAGGTTGTCAAAACGATGTTCTCTACACATTTCCTTTACTATATAAGGAAAAATTGAGTACAAATCTGACATAAAATGGATTTATCGTATCATATAAGTTTTTCCAAAAATTTCCACTTCACATTCCTTTAACTTGCATCAAGTGCATATATCTTATCCAGTGTTGCTCTTCTTATGAAGCCTTTCGAATGCTTGTGCAATGTTATTAAATAATAAAAATATCGGTCTAATTTTTATTTTAATTATATTTTAATTAGTAATTCGTTTTCTGACTGAACGTGAATATCCATTGGCATTATAAGCGGCGCTAGTGTCTAAGGAAAACATCCAACAGTGCCGCCGCACAAGTTAATGGCACAATAATAGCTGCCTTATTAGCTGCAATGATTTGGAGGTTCACATGCCAGTATTATATCATAGCAGCGATAATCAAGGTAAAACTAAGCCATTAAATAACAATAAAATTCGTATATAATGAAGGAAAATCATCCTGAAGTCACAGAAGGAATAAAAATCATAACTCTTCGTGGTGCTCTTAACTGCAATCAAAAGTATGAGTACCAACAGCGAAACTCCAGCTCCGAAACATTCGAAGTGTGAATGAAAGAAAACGTTTCACTTCTCGAATTTGGTGTACTTTTTCAAATGCTTCTTTTTTGTATATTAATTTTATTATTATTGTTATTATGACTTAAGGTAAGGAAGATGCATTTGGTCCAACAAACGAGATCGCAGCCACTGCTCGCTCAACAATAAAAATAAGAAATACGATCCGATCGTGTTGTAAAGAGGAATTTTAACGCTTTTGTAAGACTTTAACGCTTTGTGTTTCTATATAAAAATTAATTTTTTTTCTTTTTTATTTTAAATTCAACCAAAGCAGGAAGTTTTATTTCATATACCAAGACAAGACAAGACAACAACTGTAGTCAAATCAGAGCTGTAATCTAAATATCTACGTTTGCGCACCAACACCACCAATGCACTGACAGTGCGGTGTGTACATATATAGAGTGTGAAATGTCGAAATGAAATTGTATCTAACTACATAATCGGTGGGTGGATACAAGCGCAATACAACACCAACT